CAGATCCTACCTGTCCTGTGGATGCGTGAAGAGACCCACTGCACTGTTCTGCTTCCCCACATCTGAGAAACAGAAGTAATAAAGTCACTGTGGTTTATTTATTTTTCATTGCCTCAGATGAAATTGGACTGTGACTATACTTAGACTTCAGATTTTAATTGTGACTAATTACATACAGACTCATAAAATAGCAAAACAACCCCCGAGGCCAAATTAGAGGAAGGTGGAGCTGCTTTCACAAGGTGAATTTACTAATAGTATTCACGTTTTGTGTCTGCAAGCCGCGTCTACTTATTACCTAGCAAAGACAGGTGTGTGGGGGTAAAGCGGTGCTGTAGGAGAGTGAGTGGGCTTCTATTCTAGCGTCTGAGGCATTCCAAAACAGAGGTCAGCTTGCTAATTTTTTCCTATGAAAAGTGCAATGCAGCAGAGACCAGAATGGCTATGCAGTGTTCTCACCTAGAGGGCGCCAAAGTGCAGACCAACAACCCCCTCACCCACCAAGGGAGCCGCCCAAGTCAGGAGCAGGTGGGGAGGTGACTTAGATTACCTATTTCACCATCTTTCTGGAGTTCAGGATGTCTAGAATCACCATTCTCCCTAGCATGGAGTTGCCGCTTGTGTGTGTGTGTATACGAACACAATATATATGTATATTATTTTGCATATATATGTGTATGATATTGTACACGTTTTTTAAATTTTAATTTTTTTGAAATTTCTGCCTTAACCATCCCAGAGCTGGGTACTAGACAACGAGGGACTATCCCTAGAGCTTAGAGCCCACCAGGATGATTCAAACTAGCCCATCCTAAGCTGCTCACCTGCTTTCCCCAGAGAAACCTCAGGAAAGGCTTTGGTTGAATGCTTTCCCGAGCACCTGCCTCCTGACCACTCTGGTGTTTTTTCCCATGTGGTCCTATGTGGCGTGGCGTGGCGTGCCTCCTCTTTGTAGGACCTGTGAGTATAATACACTGTTTTCCTGTGTCTCCTCCGTGGCTGCACGTGACTGATCATCTCATAAAGAGAATACAAAACAGCCATATTCATTACTATTCAGCAAATAAAGATCTTTTGAATGCTTATATGCAAAATGCTGCAGATAATTGTAGAAAATCAAATACGGATGAAATCCTCTCTCAAGAAACTCAAAGTCTTTTAAGAAAATAAAACAAGCACACGAATGACAAGGTCGAAAGTGGTGAGTGCCAGAGACAAGCACAAAGTAAGGGCCGTAGAAGGAGTGCCTCTCACTCATGTCTCTTCTGAGCCATGAACTAATCTCTTGAGACATAACAGTGAGTTCGGAAGGAAGCACATTTCCTAGGTAGCATATAGGAAAACAGTGTCATCCCTAAAGAAGTCACTGTAATAGTGGATTTCAAATGATTTGTAATTTTTTTAAGGTTTTGTTCACTGATGGGCCCATTCACCTGTAACAGAACCTGGTACATAGTGGCCTTCAGAAAATATTACTTGGGATGAATTAAATTGTTCTGTAAAATGTTCAATAGAAAAGAAATGTGTCTATACACCATGAAATACTATGCAGTCATAAAAATGGATGAGTTTGTGTCCTTTGTAGGGACATGGATGCAGCTGGAAACCATCATTCTCAGCAAACTATCGCAAGAACAGAAAACCAAACACCGCATGTTCTCACTCATAGGTGGGAACTGAACAATGAGATCACTTGGACGCGGGAAGGGGAACATCATATACCAGGGCCTATCATGGGGAGCAGGGAGGGGGGAGGGATTGCATTGGGAGTTATACCTGATGTAAATGACGAGTTGATGGGTGCAGCACACCCACATGGCACAAGTATACATATGTAACAAACCTGCACGTTATGCACATGTACCCTAGAACTTAAATAATAAAAAAAACTGTTGAAATCAATAAGTGAATTAAGCAAGGTGATAAAAGATCTATATAAAAATTCAATAATATCTCAATATATTAAGAGACAATTTAAAATTAAAATAAAAACTGTTACTGATACTAGTACCAAAAATGCAATACATATAGAACTATTACAAAAATCTGTATTGAGAAAGCAACAAAATATTGAAAATAATTTTTTAAAATAAAGATATATACCATGTTCAAAAAAAAAGAGAAATGTGTCATCTTCAAGTGTAATAAGCACTTATAAAATCCAGTAGTTACTCCCTCCCACACACGAAGTTTAAGATACTTAACAGTGTTACTGAATTTGATATTTTACAAATGCCTTTATCCCTAGAAGAATGAATGATATGGATGCTTTGCAGCCTCTAACTTGATGAAGACCACCACGATGGATCTGTAACCATGTATAAGAATGTTCCATGTCAAAAGATAAATCAGAACAAAACAAAAAACAGAAAGTAACAAGTGCCATCAAGGATGTGGAAAAACTTTTGCGCACTGCTATTGGGAATATAAAATGGTGCAGCCACCACAGAAAAGAAAATGGTGGCTCCACAAAAATTAAACAGAATTACTGTATAATCCAGGATCCCATTTTCTTTGCATATATAGCTCAAAGAACTGCAAGCAAAGATTGAACAAATACTTGTACACCTATCTTCACAGCAGTATTATTCACAACAGCCAAAAGGGAGAATCAACCCAAGTTTGCACCAACGGATGAAAAGAAAAACAGTATGTGATCTGTTCATACAATGGAATATTATTTAGCCTTAGAAAGGAAAGGAATTCCAAGACATGCTATTAATACAACATGGATGAACCTTGAAGACATTATGGTAAGTGGAATAAGCCAGTCACAAAAGGACAAATACCGCATGATTCTACCTATATGAGGTACCTAGAGTAGTCAAATTCCTAGAAGCAAAGTAGAGCGGTGGGTGCCAGGGGCTTACAGGAAACAGAATGGGCCATTATTGTATAATGGGTACAGAGTTCCAATTTTGGAAGATAAAAAAAGGTTCTGGAGGTGGATGGTAGGGATAGTTGCACAACAATGCAAATGTACTTAATGCCATTTGGCTGTACACTTAAAAATGGTTAAAATGATACAATTTATGTTACGTATATTTTACTATAGTTTTTTAAAAACCAATTTTTTTTTAAGTTCCAGGTACACAAGACAACTGACATTCTCATGTGTATTAACAATGGAAGTAAAATAATCAGTGGTTTGGTATCTGTCCCCTCCTCCTGTGCAGTAAAACGGAAAATAAAAGCAAAATTAATGTTCATACTTAGAATTACAAGTAAATCTAAATTTTTAAGATTAAAAACAAGGGTAGACAAAAGTAGCAAATCTTGGGGAGCTCTGAGACAGAAATCTCTAAATCTTATATTAAATGAAAAACTTCAATTTTAACAAAAGCAAAAGGAAACCCGAGTTGATGCAGAGATGTTAACAGCTCGTGTTCAGCTTACAAAAACTGCTGAGTTGGAACTCATTGCTCTAATCAGCACCTACTAGGAGCCAGAAACAACCTGGGGTTACACTGGTTTCAAAAGTACATATGTATGTTTATTAGCTTCGCAGGGGGGAACACATCTGTGAATACTCGTATTTAATACTTCCTAACCTTCTGTATAATGTCCACTTTAAGAAACTGAGACTAGCTCTGATTTTGCCCTCTTTGACTTTCAGGGTCAACAAGCTTTATTAAAGGCAATTTAGTGTCACAGGAAGAGAAAATTTACAACCTTGATCAACGAGGAATACAGAGGACACAAAGGTAAATACATGTGATGGAGACCTACGCCAAAAATGCTATATCAGTCAGAGTGCTGGAAGGAAACAGATGGTACATTCAAACCAGGCAACCGAGCTGAGGTTAATGGAGGGCTATTTACACAGGTGTGGGTGGGGCTATGGGAACCAACAAGAGACACTGAAGCACCCATGGGCAGCACCCCCTGGAGAGCCATTACCTTCCCTAGGACTGATGGGACTGTAAGGAGAGAGGTCACCAGACCCCACGGAGAGCTAGAGGAGACAACTGTGAGGCAGTGAGCTTCACACAGGAATGTAGCCCCTGCCGACCCGTGGCCTGAGAGGAGCATTGGTACCCCAACCATTCTGTCCTCCTGCCCCAACTTCCTCTGTGCCTCCATGAGCCAATGGGAAGCCAGAGGGTAACAGAGCCCAGGTGAGGCTGTTTATAGAGGTCAGCATTCTGGGGTTCTGAATATGGTGGGGAGGGAGGCAGGGAATCTGAAAGGTCAGACACAGAACGTCAAAAACATTCTTATCTGTGGTTTTCATCTAGTGCTCTTAAACAAGACTCACTAACCTACTGCGTTTTAAAATACAGCTTGCCAAAGTCTATGTTAATATTACTTAACTTTGATGTGTATCCGTGATGGTTAATTTTGTGTGTCAACTTGACTGCACCATGGGATGCTCCTAACCAGTTGAATGTTATTTCTGGGTGTATCTGTGAAGGTGTTTCTGGAAGAGATCAGGATTTGAGTTGGTGGACTGATTAAAGCAGATGGCTCTCCTCAACGTGGCTGGGCCTCATCCAATCCATCCAGGGTCTGAATAGAAGAAAAAGGGAAAGGAAGGGAGGACTTTTTCTCTTTGTCTGACTGAGCTGGGATGTTGATCTTCTGCCCTCTGTGCTTCTGGTTCTCACGTCTTTAGACCTGGGCTGGCATCTATACCATCGGCCCTCCAGCTCTCAGGCCTTTCTTTGACCTTCATCAGCTTTCCTGGGTCTCCAGCTCGCAGAGAGCAGCTCATGGGGCTTCTCAGCCTCCACAATCGCATGAACCAGTACCTGATAATAAATTGGTTTTGGTTTTCCAGAGAGCCCTGATTAATACACTATCTGTGCATTCACTTAGGAGAAACAAAGTCATTAAATGTGAAAAAAATAAAATTGAGTCACTCAGAAGAATCACAGTATAGCTGCCCATCACATACTACAAAGAACAAAGTATACTCAATTATTTAAGAATAAGAATTCTACAAAGAAAATGACTGGTTATCTGCACTTACACAAAATATTTCATGGAAATTTTATTACCGTGCTTTTTTTTTTTTTTTTAAATTTTTAACCATCATTATGTTGTGCATTCATCTGGAGTTTTCAGTTGTTCAGAATTCCCTGTTGGCAGCCAAATTCCTGTCTGGGAAAATGTATGAGCCAGCCTTCATCTTCCACGATGACTTTCCAAGGAACCATTACAATTAAGAGAATGTGAGTTACTCATCTCCAATAACTGTACATGATGCAATATTCTGAGGATTTGTTAACTGTCTCTGACACGAAATCATCTACTCACAGTAGGTGCTTCACAAAAGCCATCTTGAATGAATGAAGACCCTTTCTCACAGTAACAAAGTTGGGTCCAGGCTCCTTCATTTTTGCTCAGCAAGATGAAGCTAAGGAAACAGGAAGTAAGTCATCAACCAAATCATTATAACAAAACGTTCTATTCCATTCTCCATAATTCACCCTTCAGTCTAGGGGAACACTGACAATTGCCCCTCCAGATACAAAGAGACTGCCTCCTGTGAAGACACCTGCCTCACCCAAAGCCACATTTCCTTCCAGGTTGCCCCACCTCCGATGAGTCACTGATTCGCAAACCATAAAGGTCCGCCCTCTTGCCTCAACTCAGCATAGCTCTGACAGATCGTCCCATCTTCCCATCTCCCTTGAGGTCTGACTGGGGTTGCTGCTGACCCAGTGATATAGGAGTTAAGAAGAAAGTACTGAGGCAGATAGTGAGGGTATGGGAGTCTTCAGTAAGGTTTTCCTTTTAATGAAAAGCCGCCCCCAGATCATTTTCTTTTCTAACAAAGAGCAGCCTGGAAAATCGAGCTGCAGACATAGACAGAAAGCTGAAAGCTTGCACAGGCGAATGCCGGCAGTTCTGCCAATAAAAATATATTACCTGGGGCCGGCGCGGTAGCTCACGCCTGTAATCCCAGCTACTCAGGAGGCTGAGGCAGGAGAATCGCTTGAATGCAGGAGGCGGAGGTTGTGGTGAGCCGAGATCACGCCATTGTACTCCAGCGTGGGCAACAAGAGCAAAACTCCGTCTCAAAACACAACAACAAAAAACACTACCTGGGATTAGGCATGTTCTAAATGCCTAGAACATGCCCAGAACGGCTCCATCTTCTCTTTTTGCCAGCCCTGCGTACAGTAACGACTGGACAAGATGGCGCCGGCCAAGTGGAAAGCCTAGTTGCTGAATAAGATTAGGGTGGGGTGACCAGCCTTCCCTGCGAGCTACGTAAACGTCACCCCTGGTCTAACCAATCGCTGGGCCCTACATAAATCAGACACCGCCTCCTCAAGCCTGCCCTTAAAACCTGCTGCAGTCAGTCACGGGCCAGCCTTTCCCTCAAGGATGTCTGATAGCTGGTCTCCTCTGTGTTTTCTTCTGCTTATTAAACTTTCCGCTCCTTAACTCAACCATACGTGCCCATGTCGGTAGTCATCTTGACGAGAGATGATGAACCCCGGATATTTACCACAGACAGCGATGCCGCTTCACCAGCGTTGCACTCTACTTACCCGCTTCCTGATCCTGCCTCAGCTTCTCCTCTCCACAGGTGTTGATCCCAAGAACAACCCGTAAGAAATGTCCTGCACGCTAATCTCCATCTCACAGTCAGCTTCCCAGGGAATGCAGCAATTACGAAGCATTCAGCTTAATTGTGTTGATTGCTTTATGATTTTGTGTTTTTTTTTTTTAAATATTGAAGTGTAACATATATTCAAAAGTGTGGATAAAGTCTCCATAACGATTAGTTTCCTGTGCCATGATGGGGCCGGGCTTTAGTGCCTTTTTGTATGTGTGTCTGTGTGGTAAGACGGAGTTTTGCTCTTGTCAACCAGACTGGAATGCAATGGCGCGATCTCGGTTCACTGCAACCTCCTGGGTTCAAGTGATTCTCCTGCCTCAGCCTCCCAAGTAGCTGGGATTACAGGTGCCCTCCACCACGCCAGGCTAATTTTTGTATTTTTAGTACAGATGGGGTTTCATCATGTTGACCAGACTGGTCTTGAACTCCTGACCTCAGGTGATCTCCCTGCCTCAGCCTCCCAAAGTGCTGGGATTACAGGCGTGAGCCACTGCACCCGGCCGTTAGTGCACATTTATTTAATCAAACACTAATCTAAGTAGTGCTGCAAAGGTATTTTGTAGATGTAGTTAACATATACAATCAGTTGACTTCACATAAAGATTACTTTTCATACTGTGAGTAGGCCTCATACAATCAGTTGAAAGCCTTAAGAGCAAAATCTGAATTTTCCTAGAGAAGAAAAAATTCTGCCTAAAGACTGCAACATCATTTCCTGCCTGAGTTTCAGCCTGCCAGCTTCTCCTACGGATTCTGGACTTGCCAGCCCCACAACCATGTAAGCCAATATGCTAAAATAAATTTCTTAATATAATTCTTAATGTATATATCCTTTTGATTCTGTTTTTCTGGAGAAATCTCACTTATACAGTCTCTTAACATGATTGTATATCTGTCAATTTTTATATATTTTGTGGCTGTGTTATTAGGTATAAACACATTTACGATTATTTCGTATTAAACGTGAAACTATTATTATTCTGAAATGAGCCACTCTTTGCTTTGATTTTGTAGCTTTTGCTTTGCATAGCAGTTTTACCATCCCTTACTTTCAACCTGTCGATATCTTTCTATTTAAAGTAAGCAGCTTGTTTAGCTTTGTTTGGTATTACCCTCTCTGACGAGCTTTATATTTCTTTTTTTTTTTTTTTTTTTTTTTTTTGAGACAGAGTCTGGCTCTGTCGCCCAGGCTGGAGTGCAGTGGCCGGATCTCAGCTCACTGCAAGCTCCGCCTCCCGGGTTTACGCCATTCTCCTGCCTCAGCCTCCGGAGTAGCTGGGACTACAGGCGCCCGCCACCTCGCCCGGCTAGTTTTTTGTATTTTTAGTAGAGACGGGGTTTCACCGTGTTCGCCAGGATGGTCTCGATCTCCTGACCTCGTGATCCGCCCGTCTCGGCCTCCCAAAGTGCTGGGATTACAGGCTTGAGCCACCGCGCCCGGCCTATATTTCAATTTGAATATTTAGTCTGTTTATATTTACTGCAATTCAAGGTTAAATCTACCATCTTACTATTGATTCCTATTTTCTCTGTCTGATCTATGATTTTTTTTTTTGTCCTTCCTTAAAGTTTTTGGGTTTATTTAATATTTTCTAATTACATTTCTTCTTCTATTAGCTTGTTATTTATATGATGTTTAAAAATTGGTGTTTTCTCTAATAGGTGCAACATGCATTCTTGACTTATTAAAGTGCTGTTGGTGTGCATTTTAAAGGCACTACTGTAATTATGTATACAAGTAATGTTTACCTAGATTTACCACATAGACATTCTGACGATTGCTCTGTTACTTCCTGAATTTCCATGCTTTGCTCTACTATATGCTATTTACTATAATAAATGCATAACATTTATTGCCTATAGCTCTAAAGGCAAACAGGCAGTGCAGTTCCAATTTTATAGATGAGGAAACCAAAGCTCAGGGAAATATAGTGAAAAGAGTACAGCTTGATAGCTAAAAGCATAAACTCTGGAATCCAGTAGAATATTCCACCCACTGATCTTATCATTTTCAGAAAGCTGTTTCCTGCTGTAAGCTTCTCTTTGTCTATAAAATATCAAATAATAATAATAACAACACTTACCTCATTCTGGTTGTGAGAGTGAATTAAGAAACGTTGAATGTTTCATGAGATGTCTGGCACATTTTAAGAACAATCCACATGTTCACATTGGTTATGATGATACCCAGCACTGCTGTAATAAACGTATCGTCCACTGCTGCTGCCCTGGCCACTGTGCTCCTTTAAGAGAAATGCTGCCTTCTAAAGCATGATGAAGGAGGGAGAATTAAGCAATCATTGAGAAAGTGGTGGCACCACTTTGACCAGGGATGAGATCTGACCCAAGGGCAGCCAGAATATCAGGCAGCCTGTGTCCTTCAAAGTGGCCTGGCTTCTCCAACAAATCTCTGCTCAAAAGAGATTATGGTGACTATCTAAGACCATCAACTCTCTCCCATTAGGATCTGAACAGGGAAAGACTGGAAGAATGGGCTGGTTGGTAGCTATGGGAGAAATATCAGAACATATAAAGAGAAAGGGAACAGTGCCCTGAGAGCAGTGGCTGGAGCACAGCTAGCACTGTATTCTTGCAACAAATCCTGACTACTGGGTAAGCCTGCAAGACTGAAAGGGCTTGCGCAGCATATCTGCCCAGAGTGGTATAGTTGTTAAGTGATAGAGATGATACTTACTCTCAATAGTTCAGACCATGAAGACATGGTTTATCTGCTCTGCCATTCAACCTTCCCCTCATTATCTAGGTTGTCTAGATAATTATCTAGACAGTTATCTAGACCGAGATATGGGACAGAGATATGCATAATGTGCATTTATGTTGCCTAAACTTTGTAAACGGCATGAAATAAAAGCTAAATGGACTATTAAGAAATCAGGTTTTTGTTGTTGTTGCTGTTTAGGACAAACATTTGAATGGAAAGCATGACAGGATTAACGTGTCTAATTTTAATTTTTAGACATAAGTCACTAATATCCTTATTGAAATATGGATTCATCTAGATTGAATTTAATTTTACTATTTTGCATATAATTACAGAGTCTTGGAAACTGTGGGGGAAAGTGTGCCCAGTCAATCTCTGCTTTCTATAAATAAGAAACCAGTAGCATTTAATTCAGAGAAAGTAAATGTTGGCTCATAAAGGAGCAGAATATTCCTCCTTTGTAAAGTAAGGAATAATAGTGACTGTTACCATTCACTGGACCATCTCACTCCCATTCCCATCTGGAACTCAGGCCTCCCTGAATTCCAGAAGCAATGCCCTGGTGATAGAGAAACTTCTCTGGATTGGAGTTTTGGGAAATGTTATAAATGACTTAATGTATCAATGCACAATGGAAGTAGAACTATGGTATCTTAAGTCTCATTCCAAGAAGAAATCATTCTAGAGGTTGTTGACACAATCACCCAGTGTGTAGTGTAATTCCATTTCTAATCTTGTTCCAATACAAGTCTGGAAACTTAGACCCCCATGGTTAGAAACAATGGCTGTTACTGGCAAAAACTGAAAAGCTGACTTTTGAAATATAAAAGATTTTCTTTCTTGTTGTCATATCAATTTTCTGTTCTATTTAGCATTGCCTTTATACTTGTAAAACCCTTTTTCCACTCTGAGATACACAAATATTCTGCTGCATATTCTTCTAAGATTTTTATAGTGGCTTATTTTTGACATTTAAATCTTTAATCAACCTGGTATTTCTTTTGGGGTAATGTGTCAGAATACATGTCTAGGTTTACTTCATTGTATTAATGTATGTATTCTTTTCCCAGAGTTTTTATTTCATTTCATTGTTCCAATAATCTATTCTTGTGCCAAAACCACATGTTTTGTCTATATTAGTGTTATGTTTCTATATATAACAGGGCAAATCTCACTGGTTAATCTTCTCTGTTTTGCATTTAAAAAGTTTTTTCTGAGCTCTACTTGTGAATTCATTCTTCTAGATGAATCTTAGTTTTACTTGAACACATTTAATAATAAATCTCAGTGGAAGTTTAAGTGCAATTGTGTTAACCCTATAAATGAATTTGTAAAATATCGACATTTTTCCAATGTCATTATTGCTCCTACTACCATTACTGCAGTCTAGCTACCTGTAGCTCCCAAGTAGATAACTGCAGGCACATGCCACCATGCCTGCCTAACTTTTTTTAATTTTTTGTAAAAATATGATCTTGCAATGATGCCCAGGCTAGTCTCCAACTCCTGGCCTCAAACAATCCTCCTGCCTCAGCCTCCCAAAGTTCTGAGATTACCAGCATGAGGCACTGTGCCCAGCTTTCTTAATGTAGTTATAAGTTTTTTTGTTTTTATTTTTTGCTAGCCTTTATATTGTTTGCAAAATTCTACATAAAGCTATTTAGGCACTTAATAGTTTGTGTTGCCATTATAAGAGGAAAATTATCTTCATTAAATATTAAGAATAGTTTTATCCTGGTTTTTAGAACAACCATTAAATTTTATATATTCTTTTTGTGGTTAGCCACTTAAGTTTTAAATGGGGGAGTGATTTTCTTGGCAGAGAACCATCATGTTTTGTAAATGTTAACCCAAAAAAGGTAAATTTGTTCTCTTTCCTAATGTTGCATGTCTTAATATGTTGACTAAAATTTCTAGAATGTTCAATGATAATGATGGTAGCAATCCTCTGGTTATTTGGTTCTTGGTTTTAGTGAGAACATGTAAATACTTCATTGCTGGTTATGGCTTTGGCTATTAATTTAATATAGAGATTCTGTCTCATATTGAGAAATAATACTTATGTTCCTGGTTATGCTGCCTGCTTCTCCTCACCTCTGATAATAATGACTAAACTAATAGTAGTAGTAGTAATGATGGTAGTAGTAATGGTAGTAATAGTAGCAATTATAGTAGTAGTAATGGTGGTGGTGGTGGTAGTAATGGTAGGAGTAAGAGTACATAGTGGTAGTAGTAATGATAGCAGTAGTAGTAATGGTGGTGGTAATAGTAGTAATGATAGTAGTAGTAGTAATGGCGATACTACTAG